GTGAACAGAGAGAGGCCAAGCTTCTGAGCGTTATAGGTGGGGATGCCTGAAGGAGATTCCCCCTACGCGACCTCTCATTAGCGGTTCGTTAATCAGTATTACAATATCAGATCGGGAGGTGCCCTCGTCCGTTGCACAAAGAATTATTATTAAATTTCTCACTGCAGAAGGCGTAAAACCGTCGGACATATTGAGAAGGCTTGAAGCACAGTTCCGGGACAATACGCTTAAGAAGACTCAAGTATACGAGTGGCATAAACAATTTTTAGAAGGACGAGAAACTGTTGAAAATAAAGGGTACCGACGTCGCCCGATGACCAGCGTGACAGAGAAGAATATTCGCTTGGTTGGCAGCCTTATCGAGGGTGATCGTCGATTAACGACGGCTGAAATTGCTTCTGAGGTCGGAATAAGCTTCGGCAGTGCTCAGCCAATCATTACTGACGACCTTGGGTTTCGATAAGTGTCCGCCAGATGGGTCCCTCGTCTTCTCACCGAAAATCAGAAACGGCACTGTTTGGAAGTGTGCGAACGGCTATTGACACATTATCAGGCCGAAGGGGAAGGTTTTTTGCACCGAATTGTGACTTGCGACGAAACTTGGGTGCACCACTACACCCCGGAATCCAAAGAAGCCAGTATGGAATGGCGAAAGAAAAGTGAATCTGCACCCGTCAAAGCCAAAACTCTGCTCTCTGCTGGAAAAGTTCTTGCAACTGTATTTTTTTACTTTAAAGATATTTTGCACGTCGATTTTCTTCATGAACGTCGTACTGTGAACGCCGCATACAACTGCCAACTTTTGGACGAAGCAAAACGCGAATATCGTCGGAAAAGACGCGGATTTCTAATCCGAGACGTTAACCTGCTTTACAACAATGCCCGGCCCCATATAACTACCTTAACTCGTCAAAAAATTGAAGAACTGGTCTGGACAACACTGGAACACCCTTTCTATAGTCCGAACTTATCGCCCTGCGATTATCATTTGTTTGGATCACTGAAAGTAGTACTTGGAAGACAAAGATTTGACAACGATGCTTCTGTCGAATCCTTCGTGAGCGATTGGCTAGTGTCATAGCTGCCTTCATTTTATGATAGCGGAATTAAAAAACTGGTTATCCGTTGGGAAAAATGTGTTTCGAAGTCCGATAACTATGTAGAAAAATAGTTATGTATGTAATTTTTTTTATGATGTTTCAATTAATAAAAAAAAATAATACCGGTTTATATTTAATTCATCCTCGTATAAGAAAGTAAAGTAGAAAGGAAATAGATAATTAAAGTATTTGTGTGATTTCAGAGAGATATATAAATATTTATGTATTTATGTTATACAATCATTAAATCAGGAAAATAAAATAAACATTAAAATATAAATAAAAGTGAAATACTGATGTTTTAGTAATATTCATAAATATTGTGATACTGTGATTTCATAACAATACAAAATATCTTACTATCAATTTTTAATCTCACATCAAGAGACATGAAAGCAAATTATCACACAAATTAATTATGTCAAAATTAATTTAAGTTAATTATTTTAGGGCTTATCTACCATCTTCAGTAATTAATAGATACAATGGTAATTTAGAAACCGCGTATTCATCCGTATAGTCCAGCGGAGAAATTAAAAGGATACAACCGTTTCATGTTTTTCGATCAAATAAAAACATTTTGTCCTAGTTTATTGGTAAAGTATATCAATATTATGTTCTTCTAATATGTAAGTCGGGACGTGCTGACCGGATTCACTATTTCTCAATTGTGCCTATCATACAAAGGTTAAATCTGATTTTATATATTGTTCTTTCCTCAACGGCGGATGTACCATTTTCAACATACTTTCACAATTCAAGACGAATTATAATAAAACTGTTACTGCATTGCTGACTTTGCTCTTTCCAATAATATGGCTATGTTTCAATTGTCCAATGAAAATATTCTTTTTGCTGAAGATTGATTTAAAATACACCGTTTAGGTGCTCTATACATCCTATGGCAATTTCTCTTCCAGTGCATAAAGTTTTCAAAACTGTAAAAATTATTGACAAGCTGCAGAAGTTCTTAGCTTCTTCCCAAATTTTCAGTTGCTTCTAAATCGTTTAGAATCGTCACGTATAAAGTTTTAAACGTGCGTGATCGCGACTATCTAGGTGCAGTGGTAGACAGAAAAATTGCAACACTTTTATCGTTGAATTTTGCAACGTATCTCGCATCCAAAGAAGAGAATGTATCTCTTGATGATAAGTAACAAATAAATTTTCCTGTTCGACACAGGATGCATCCCGAAACTTATCGTAAAAAAAGTTTAGCGACCTTCCTGTCTACCACTATACAAGCGAGTAATTCCAACAGTAAATGAATAGGAATAAAAAGGAACGACGGTGGACCTTACGAATAATCAATAGTACCCATTTTGTGCTTTCCCGCGTTTATAATTTATTCACTTAGTTCACAGACTAGCGGAACACGTTACCAAGATGATTATACATTTCCATATTGTTTGTCATGCCCGTTTTGCTTATTAAAATATTTATGACGGTGCAGTGAAACTTCTCGATTCTCGAGAATTCCGTCCAGAGCATGTGCGATGAAAATCCGTCGCAAATGAAGGGATGATTTTTCATCGATGATAAGTGACAGTGCGCTTTTAAACTTTGACATGGACTTAAACGGATATAATGGTGCTCCTTGCCGCTATTATTCTCTAAATTTTTTCTAGTAAAATTTCATTTAAAAGAAATGAAAAGTAACAATGTCTTCATTTGAAGTAATAGTGAAAATATTGTCACTTAAAATTATAAAAGTGAATGTTTTAATCAAATTTAGACAATCATCTAATTATACGAGTGAATGTCTCAATGGATTAGAATGAATTTATCCCCGTGATGATGAAAGACATCAGATTCACTCTTCAGTTTCGATTGAAAATATTCACTCTACAGTTCACACATGAACAATTCACTTTGTATTAATAAGTAGTCACTCGAATCCGAGAGATTGGGTAGTGGCTATACTTTCCTACTAAAATTATATGTCAAAATATTTAGAAAATAATTCACTGCTTTTGTAATCAGATTATTTCTTTATGTAAAATTATTATACCAGTGTGTATTATACTGTCAATAAATTTTTATTAAATGTATAAATTAATTCGGTGCCTTTGCATTTAATGTTCTGTAATTCTGGTTCTAATTTAAATTTTTTTTCCGTCCCTGGTGATGTGAAAGTGCTTATCTTAAACTTTAAGAAGCACTATAATAGTTGATGGCCTTGCTGATATTATCTCAGAAAACGGTAATTATCTCGATGTTGTTCAAAAAGAAGCATCTGAGACACTTCATTTTTTTCGTACTCCTGTTGAATGAAAATGCTGTTCAGTCTATCAAAATCATTTGTTCCGCTTTTGGTGAAGATGCTGTGAACCATAAAACTTGTAAAAATCCTTTCATCAACAATGGAACTAAGCAGATGATTCTGCTGCATGATAACGCGCGGCTACATGCCACAAAAGGCACGAAGGATCTCATCTATACTATGAAATGGGAAATTCTCCCTTATTTGGCTTATTCGCCAAATCTAGCCCTGACGAATTACCATCTATTTTGATCACTTCAACATCATCTGGCGGATACGCATTTTAAAAAAGTTGACGAGGTTCGAAGTAGCAATGATGATTTTAATGAGTTAAAACCACCAAGTATTTTCCGCTAGAGTAAATCATCAGCTGCCCGATAGATGGAATAAAGTTATAGAAAATAATGGAAATTATTTCGAATGTTAAATTTGTACTTGCCTTTTTGTAAAGAAATTTTGAATTTCATGAAAAAAGGCATCGAATTAATTTGTGCACCTAATAAGTGTCTTATTGCAATATCTAGCATAAAGTAAATCAAAATTAATTATTGGAGAAAATTCAGTATGAAATACAATAATAGCTGCTTCTGTTTCGTGTATTATCACATGACTCATTGATTTCGTAGATATTTTATTAGTGATGTAAAAATATATATAATTTTTATTGCTCCATAAGAGAAAGAGAGAGAGATAGATAGATAGATAGATAAAGA